CTGCAGTCAGTTGACGAATCAAGCTGAAAATTTGATCATTCTACTAGTAAGGGACACAATGAACATAGATGCCAAAAATTATTAAAATCAAATAAACATACGTAGGTGTTTACCTTTTTTGTATATTTAACTTTAGTTTGTTAGGTTTTAAATTTAAGTAGGTTGGGTATCACATGAATCGTCAGTTCTTGTTTATTTTTATAATTTATATCAAAATATTGTAATCTGTCACATAAACATAATGTTTTTTATGTAATGGAAACCGTAAATAAATAAATTTTCGTAAAACTGGTGTTACAGTGATATTTGTAACTCTTCGATATTTGAAACTTCCTCAGACCAAATATGAATCTGCAACAGCTCTTCTCGAGCTTTTGCATGAATCTAGGCATGAGTGAAAGAGGACTAGAGAGTAAGCCAAAATTGACAATATAAGGCTCTCGCACAGCTTTTTACGGCACTTAAGGTTTAGAATATGACGACTAGAATAGAAGAGCTTCATCTTCATATAATTTGAGCTCATGATACTGTTCACATGTTTGTTAAATCTAAGATTTGAATCGAATATGACACCTAGAAACTTAGCATTATGGAAAAACAGAATATTAGTGTTGTTGATAAATAAGAAAACTCGATTTGTGAGGTTGTAATTTGAATATATAAAGGTCCGATCCTACCAAATAGCTCTGGACGGATGGGCGGCAGGAACCTGACGGGACCGTCTGTAAAGTTTTTCCACACCGACCGCCCGTATGTTGAAAGGGGTCTGAGACCGTCCGTTAGCGAAGTGTCATCAATCAGCCTCCTCTGAACAGCATTGAGTGTGACTGGGTTTTCGAGGAGGCAGTACCCCAAACATGTGGGTTTTATCTGATCCCCAGTTATGCGGAAAAAAGTAGGTTTGTGACTGAGGAGATGTGCTCGTGCCAAATCAAGTCCGCGGTATCCTGGGTACCGACCAACCGAATCGTACGGCTCTTTAGCAGAACTTGGACACCCGTTGAGTCTTGATGTACGCTAGGGCGCTTTTTGTTAGTCAAGGCACAAACAGTACTGTGTTTTTGAAGCATTATAGTGTACCAGACTGTAGTGTCACCAAGCAGCGATAACTTCCAGATCTCTCTTCAGCTAACAGTCTGTCATCAGCAAAGCTGTGGATTGGATATATCTTACAGGAGAGGAGGCTGTTGATATAGTGAATACTTTTTTTATACTCCAACTACCACGAAGGCCTAAGGCCTAAGCACCCATTGGGTACCGTCGGGCTATAGGGGGATACATGGGAAAGGGGGAACGCCACACGGACTCTGGCGAGGGAACACGTGTGCATGCAACACATTGTGGCTCCGCCTACGAGAACCGCCGGGTGGTATCTCCGCGCTCGACAGTCAGAGACCATCTACCACCTACGGACAATCACAACATCCGGGACTCGAACCCGCACAGCGCACGGCGACTGATCAGGAGACCGAAGAGTCTACTACTGCGGCCACCGCTGCTGCCTAGAAAGGCCAAACCCTGCGGAACCCCTACGTTGACATTGTGGGAATGAAGATAATAATCCGTCAATTACGATAGATATGGTTGGCAAGGAAATCAGCCACCCAGTTGTAAGGATTCTCTTACACAATAGAAGTTTCTTATGACCTAACGAAAATTCATGTTACCAAAAAAAGTTGAAAAAAGTTATTTGACTATAACAATGGAAAAAATGAATGTAATTGATTTAACTCTACCTGCTATAATTCGAAAACATATCACTAAAATTTTATCATAAGTAAAGTAGAAATTTTCAGGACGAGGATAAACGCCCACTGGGGCCTTGAGTAGGCGACACTGCCACCCATGAACGGTGAGCAGAACGGCAACAGATAAGCCGACGGAAATGTGTGGCATGGATTTAATCATGCTGTGGTTACCAAAAAAGATTTTATTTGTAGTTAGAACATTTTCCGAATCGAAATAATCACAATGTACTTAGCCGAAAACTTGCCAGTGTCAACCGCATTGCTCTACTAAGAACTAGCTTTTTCCATAGGTAAATACGGATAAACAAATTTTTAGATAAACAGGGAACTTAATTTAAAATTGTATGCAGCTAACTTATTCATGTCAACTTGATAACTTAGCCTTATCTTTTTGAATAGGTATAAGGAATGGCTAATACTAGGTATAACTTTACCAGCGGGATGACTGGCGGAATGAAATTGAAAAAGCTTTCAAGGCTAGCAGACGGAAAACGCGGTTGATCAACGTTCTCGTATCACTGACTAATGGACTAGCCCAAACTGCCTAGATCTCAGTATTTGAGTTTGGCAGTCTTACAGCAGGCAAGAAGATATTTCAGAATATTCGTGAATTTGAGAAATGGGTACGGGAAGATGTAACGTTAATCCATGAAGATATCTAAATCTAATAAAACCGAATATAGTGATAGTAGTGAAAGAGATTCTATACGTACATCCCATTATTGATGTAAATGTGATACACATCTCACTTAGGTATGTAATATGCCATCGTTTGCTATTAAGGCGAGTCTTGATGGACGACTGCAGTATCAAATATTAAGCAGCGAGTTTAATGAAGTTTTAAGTCTTGTTAGTGGTCACTCAGCTTTCGTTGCATCTAGTGTACATTACCCAGTTTAGTTTGCAGAAGTTAGGAGATTGCGAAACAGTTCCCCAGGCCAGTCATTAATATAAGATAACGTTTACTGTACAAGTTAAATTGTGTGCAACTTGCAACTTGGCTACAATTCTCCAGCGCAATCATTAACCAGGCCTGTGTACCGAACCATTAGTTACATAGGTAGTGTTCAAAATAAGTAAGCACAGTATACGTGGATTTCAAAGAACATGGCACGTTTTTATGGAAAATAATTGTTATTCAAATTGGCAAAAGACATATTATGATGTTTTCATACTACTTTGATCAAAAGTCTCTATGAATTGATGGTTTACTATCAACTGGCAGGGTGTACATGATAATAATATGTGGAAGAATACTTAATTTGAAAACATTGCATAACGAGAAATTTTCACATGATCTTATACCGGGTTTTACAATAGGGACTTGACGACTTTGGACTTTCACTGTGAGCGCACATTTACATCAATTACCGAACTGTCAATTTCAAAACATTCAGTAACGGAACCATTTTCATCATGGTGAAGTACACGAACGAACAAAGCTTATTAATAACAAAAATTTACTACCGAAATTCCGAATCGGTGACTGCAACTTTAAGAGCGTTAACGACAATTTTTTGTCATATTTATCGTCCCAGTAGACAAGCAAATCATAGTCTAGTAAAATAACTTGAGTCTACATATTCGCTGCTGGATGTTCCAGTGCCAGTGAGACAACAGCACGGGTGTCACGTATCTTGAAAAGTGACATTATGCCGATTTTTTTTTACATTATGCTATTTTTTTGACATTATGTAGGTTAGTCTACAAGATGTTAACTTAGCACTTAGTTGTACGTGTTGCCTAAACGTCATGAGGCTTGTTATCAATCTTTGGCTTTGATGTGATGTAAAATCTGCTTCTGAGATGGCATTACTGGAGGTCTAAGCTGTAAGTTGTATGTGTTGATGATAATTACATTGGGTTCTTGTCTCAAATACACTTAATTGAGATTCAAAGCTAGAAACTAGTTGCGGATCCACTTTTTCTTATCCATTCTGGAAATTACATATAAAAATTTACTGAATTTCAAAAATGAGAGAGATAAGAAATAATTATATTCACTGTACACTGTCGAATGCAAGCCATATACATGCTAACAGTAATTACACACAACGCGGGTGCGGTGATGATTTCTCGTAATTCTCCACAGTTTTTCGTAATTTATAACTTTGAACATAACCTCTATTCAGAAAGCACAACATATAAATAATGCAGACCAATACACATAATCATCCAGATGCGATCTTGCTATTCAACCATCTTTCTTCACAGAGATAAAAACTACAAACACGGACCACTCAGCCTCACAAAACATATGCAACCAATAATGCGTGTAGTTTAGTTGAGTGATTCCTCCATAGATGGACGTTCACAACTATCCTAGTGAACAAACGTGGAATGACTGTTTTCGCCCTAAAAGCAACCTGATCTGCAAGTTGACATCTTATAGTTTTTTTTTGTCGTTTTATAGGTATTTTACATGATACCCGTGCCAAACCTGATATGGTGGACATGACCTCAGAAACTATAAGATCCTGTTGACGTCTTTCCTGAAATCATAGCCTCTTTCATCACTTAGGATGTCTTGTACACCCCAGAACTCAAATACTGGTGATCTTAGAATCTTCCGATCATGGAAGTATTTGATAGAAATAGTATAGAAGATATACCAGATCGTCAGTAAATTTGAGTATTTGGACATATACAGTTTATCCATACGAATCTAAAGTCAGTATGTAATCGATAACATACTTAAGAAGTAAATATTAATGTGAAGTCAAGTTGATAGTCGTTAAATTCTTAGTGTAGTAGTTCACTTTGCTGCTCATTTCGAAGTTTTGAAGGTTTGAAGTTTTGAAGGATGAGGTGTACGGCGAGGTGTACTACTCCTCTATGTTTCATCCTTATTACTGTGAACTTAAATCTTGTCGAGTAAAGGATCACAGGGACGTTACCGAGAAAAATTTAATATCTAGAAAGTTGATACAAAGAAGCAAAATGTAGAGTAAGCTCCAAGTTTTATTTTAACAGCGCAGCGCCGGGTGCTTTTACTGCTATATTTTAATTATTCTGTTTTAATAGTATACGACATAATATTTCATGCAATTTTAGTTTTAGTGACAACAGAAAATATAACTTGCTTTATCCTTTCCGTGAATCATACGTCATCCCACATCTACTTGCAATTTGATAGAAACTCATAACATCGAAAACGAATAGATTCGAGTTCTGTTTAATGGTCTAATTGCATTCCCGATTCCCGAACTAGGTTAATATTTATACATCTAATCTAATGTTCTCTTTCTCCAGGAATTGGAAACAAACAGGTCAAGGGAGGATATCTTCTTCGATATCGACGTAAGTATATTGCATTTCATATGAGACTATGCAATTTAATTGTTTTTGATTTATTTCATTATTAACAGACATAAAATATGTATACGGTATATTTTTAGAATTGATGGCTATTGAACTCGTAGATTGATTGTTTTGAAATACTATATAGTGTGAGCAAACTCCTGTACCGTTTGAAGCCCGGATTTTTGTCATCTTATAACTTGCTCTGCTGGTTGATTGTCAACTTATTTGCCCTTGCTTACACACCAAGCAAAATTGTCAACAGTGAGCCTCTCGCTAAGCGTCAATTCAAGCCGTGTCTGGTAGCCAACTCATCTACAGCAACGTGTTGTGAGAAACTGTGCTGTATAGTATATCTATCCATACCGCTCCTTTGTCAACCTAAGCCCTTGCACCATGACCAGTTGCAATCCATTTCTCCTGCCGTCTAGGAAAGAGCACCTCTCTTTCGCTGTCTTTGGCTCCAACATCTCTTTTATAAAACGTACAGATTTTCTCAACCGACCAATCAACTGGCGGATCCCGAAATTTTTTCTGGCTCTTTGCGTCTACGGTGTTGTAGTCAAATCTAATATGCGGTAAGTTTTTCCCCATCACCCTCAAGTTTTTAGAGAAGTGATAATAGAAAATATTAAAATCCAAAATTATAAGCGATCTAGTGTTGAATTTTTAAAAATCAAAAAAATAACAAATCCACTTTTTTAGAAAATATACCTCTTATTGTATAACAGACAATCAAAAAATTTATTTGATTGTTTTTTTTCGCTTGTATTGGCCAGGAGCGGTTTCACGTTTAATGGTCCAGCAGTAATCCGCCAGCATGTCTGGAGTCCATTTTCTACTATAGCGTTTCTCCATCTGAGCAATTTGCTAGTGAAATCTTTCCCCGTGCTCATTTGAAACCGCACTCAAATTGTCAGGCAAGCATTCTAAATGGGTGTGAAGAAAATGCAGCTTAAGTGACATAACCTAAGGCATTATCAGATTGGATAAGTTCTTCAACTATATCTTTATAGTTGTCCGTCTTTTTGTTGTCTAGGAAGTTGCTACATACAGTTTTGAAGACATCCCATGCCCTTTATTTTCTCAAAAGTGTCGTTTTAAAATTTTGGTCCTTAAAAAGCTCTCGTCCAGCAAAAAATCCTTATTTACGCTCTGCTTCATTTATATGCGGGAATTTCCGTCTCAAATGATGGAATGCATTTTCTTCTCTATCTAAAGCTTCTACGAAAATTTTTGTAAGCCCTAGTTTTATGTGCAGAGGAGGTACCATGGGTTCAATTAAGGACATTTTTCTGGCCGGGTACAACGTTTTCACGTAACGGCCAATGTTTAACTAAATAATGTTAGTTTCTGGCTCTGATGTCCCATTCATATAAAAAACAGCAATAGTAAAGCCACTCTGCAATCCTGTGAGCAATACAATAACTTTGAAATCGGCACAGATATTCCACTTATGATCTTCGTATTTTATACTTTGGAGCGCATGTTCTGGTATGCTTCTTTCATATTTTCAAATCATTGGCACTTCAAATTTCATAGAAGTGTGAATACCCCGTAGCCATCCTTTTAAGGTTCTTGAGCAAGTGCGGCAGCATGTTTTGGGAGCCCAAGTTTTGTTTTATCGGCAACTTTGAACCCGAAATTTAACTCGTAGACTTTTCTTACAAGTAGTCTAATTATATTAGACGAACATTCCTCTGGTTTGCGAAATAATTGTAAAGTCTGGCTTTATTGCTGCAAGTTGTTCAAGGGGGTATTCAAAACATGGGTACACCAATTTTTGTGGGAAAAGTTTTCATTCGAGAATAAAGAATGAGAAAACGTGTTTTTTGGGATTCAACCGAAAGTGTTGGCAGGAACAAAAAAACTCTTCATACAATATTTTTAGGTATTTATGAGACCTACAAAATGAGACTACACGTAAAAAGATCCGACTGCGAGGCAAACTGCAGGTTTTGGCACTTGTTGGTAATGCGACGTTGGTTTCTCGCAGATATTTGAAATTGTTCAAATTCGTACTTCTAAATAACCACAACAAAATTGGAGTAGATTGGTCAAGTAGTTTTTGAGAATTTCTAATTGTTTATCCCAAAACACCTGTCTTACGGCCATGACTACTAGTTTATTGAGTAATGTACAGGATTCGTTCAAATGGCATTTTATAGCAAAATACACTAGTTTACCTTGCAGATATGAATCGCAAACCATTCCGGAAAATGAGTATTATTTTTATACAAAAAATGATGGGTTACGTTTTTTCTTCTAAACCAATTCAAACATTCCGTATTTGTGAGTAATTCGTACAAAAGATGATAGACACGTCCGCTTTGTTTTAAAATGCGTACAGTAACGTATGTTTTTCGAATATCGTAGCGCATTTGTTCAATACTCACAAATACGAAATGTTTGAATTTGTTTAGAAGAAAAAACGTAACCTTCGTTTTTCGCATAAAAATAACATTTGTCTTCCGGAATGGTTTGTGATTCATATCGGTAAGGTAAACACGTATATTTTGCTATTAAATGCTCTTTGAACGAACCCTGGGTATTGCTCAATAAGCTAGTAGTGATGGCCGGAAAAATAGGTATTTTGGGATAAACAATCAGAAATTCTCAAAAAACTGCTTGACTGATATAATCCAATTTTGTTGTTGTTATTTAGAAGTATGAATCTTACGGATTTGAAGAATTTCAAATTATCATCGCATTACTTTCAAGTGCCAAAACCTGCATTTTGCCTCGTTTTTCGGCCTTAACATTTTTGATACTAATCGGATCTTTTTTACGTGTGGTCTCATTTTGTAGGTCTCATAAATACCTAAAAATCTTACATGAAAATTATATTTTTCGTTTCTGTAACAGTTTCTATTGAATCCCAAAAAACACGTTTTCTCATTCCTTGTTGTCAAATAAAAAGCTTTCCCACAAAAATTGGTATACCCATTTTATGCGTCCATGCTTTAAATACCCCCTAGAACAATTTGCGCCAGTAAAACTAGGATTTAAAATTATTTCGGGAAAATTTGGTAATATGATTAGACTAAAGTGGGCTCAAGGTCTTTTGCTGAGCTTTCAGTGTCACCTCACCACAAATATAACAGAAACTGTTCGGATGGTTCACACAGGACCGCAACGGCATTTCTTCGCTCATATATCCACAGCTGAATACCATAATGCTGATTCTCCGGCAAGCGGCTGGCTGCTTATATACCGATTTCGAACATCTAGTATTTTCTAGAAACTGTCCGACGACTATAGGGTACGGTGAAATCTTTAATTACATGTCGTTCAATGGGTATCTCCTTTATTTGAAGCCCTAGAGGGTTGAGACTGCGTAGATAAGGGTCATTTCCAGATACCCCGAATGCGATGTTGCCAGATTCTACATACATTCTCTAGACTGAGAGCAAACGCAGACTTGGCAACGTCGTACCCCATTATGCTATAGAAACATAATTATCGCACAGATACATTTTACAACTGCTCATTCCACGTTGTTGGTCCTCTCTGGTCGGTGTAAGGGTTTTTTTTTCATTTTAACACAAATTGGCATCAGGTTGTAAACCAGAGCCTCAGAATATTTATATATGTAAATCTCCAATTGACAAACACACAACGCCACAACATCCATGGCTTCGAACTCGCGGCCCGGTCGGCCTGCTGATCAGTAGCACGACACTCTGACCCAGCCGGACAACCGAGGTCCCATGATGTAAGCGTTAAATATGTAGAACTACATGCAGTACATCCATCGAAACCGTCCATGTACTACGAACAGTTGCAACCATCTCTCTTGCCGTATAATAAAGAGCACCTCTCTTTCGTTGTCTTTGACCCGAGCGTCGCTTTCATAAATCGCACAACTACCGAGACATTATTTTCATGATTTTCCCCGTATACGTATACACAATGGTACCTTCGATCTGACCTTTAAGGTCCTGTGAAGGTCAAATCGATTTTTGTATCGAGGAGACGATCATGGAAGAACAGCGACGTCAGTTGAAGGTCATGGCCAAGGTCAGATCCAAGGTCACCAATTGATATCCGGGAAAATATTTAAAATGATGTCTCGGCAGCAATTACCGATTTTGAAGTTATATCACCGAACCTGGGTTTGACCTTGACCACGACCTCCTAAGCTCAAAATTTAATAATGGTCAAGACAATATTCGATGGTAAATTTTTCGGCTCTTTCCATTTACGGAGTCAAAATTAGGAGGATCCATTTGAAAAAATCGACTTGACCTTCAGATGACCTGGAAAGTCATTATCAAGGTCAAATTTGAGATGACTATCAGATAATTGGGAATGCTCCTATGAATCGCAGAACTTGTTTTTTTCCCACCCTGTAGAATCTTTACGTCTCTTCATCTTGAGTTTGTTGTATTATTATTTCCAAGAAACGTATTTTCTCCTTTCAACGAGCTGTCTTCTACAGAAATCTCTCTGCTGTTGCCGATGAAGAAACAAAGTATACAACCAAGATAACAAACAGAAACCAAATTAGCCAAAGCAATATTGCGAATCGCTTCATTTTCATGAGCGATGACTCAAGGCTGTATTTATCTCGTTTCCTCTTTTCGCACTGATTAATTTTCGTGAATTTCCGTTTTGGACGTGTTGACTGCTCTTCCAAGGATGACAAACAGAAAGTCGATTAGGGCCCGGGTAAAATATTACACTTTGCCATTCTTAATACCGGGAGATTGATTTCTCGAAGTTGATATGACGAAAATCGATTGACTTGAACTGCAAGAAGAGGTCAGGGCTGCTTAGGTAGGATTTAGCCACGCATTCTGGGTTTTTGATCCTAAAATTTAAAAATATGAAGGAAATTTTCGTAAAACCTATATTGTCACTACAAATATCCCAATCAGAAGGTACCTCTACTCTAAAAATATTATTTATAGAAACAAAAAGGTGCCGTGCTATCCTACAATATCAATGATTATACACTGATTATACAAGTGAGTTGTATTTACACCGTGGTTAATACTAGGTCACATGGCACCACTAATTCT